CAAATCTAATCAACAATTTAGGTCCATGCCTGGCGTTGTTTGCATAAATCGATTTAGAAGCTACGTCTTTGTCAAGGGGAACCAAGTTCCTTATGGTAGTCTTTTGTCGTATTACTTGGCCTATTATTGATAAGTAATACCACTTTAGTGCTAACCATAAGTGCTTTATCAGCGAGAAGACGAAAAAGTAGCTCGAAATGAAAGAAAAAAAGAAAAGAGGTAGAAACAAAAGGATCTTATGCGGTGTTATTATTTATGATCCAAAATCCATAATACAAGAATATAAAGTTTTTAGCGATGAACAATTTCTTACTGGGATGTGTAACTCACTCTACCTTCTTTCAGTGTTCTGATGACACTCGCATGTTATTTAGGCCATGAAACTACTTGCGGGAGCTTGTGTACCCTTCTGGACAAATCTGATGCCAAGCAACCAACCCAAAAAAGGTGAAAGGTCTGGTTGCTCCGGACCCGGAGCCGACCCTAGACTTGACCGGCGAACCCCATGCGTGGTAAGTGCTGCGCTGCCACTTACTACCATGACATTTCCCTGATAACGATTTCTCCACTGCTGAGCAATGCTGGGAAATCCAGCTAGGAGAGAGGGCTTTTGAAGCAGGGCGCATCATCGCTGGGGATTGCCCAACAAGGGGGATCGTGTTTGGTTGCTGAGGGAGGGGGGTAGTATTTAGTCTGAGGAACTTTTTGATAGTTGATTTTTCTTGTTTCACAGACGCTATAAGGGAAGGGATCATACTTGTGCCCGCTGTCCCCCCCCCCCGCTCCCTCAGCCCCACTCAGCTCGATCTCGATCAGAGGGAACTAACTTGTACCAAGCCACCTTTTAGATCCCCAACTATTGACGTGCCCTGTTTTCAAGGACTCGTTGGATCACACTGGGAATGCGAGCCCCGTTTTGCACGAAGAAATTTCTGCAGCTATTCAAAACATCGGAAGAGACTCATCTCCATCAAAAAGATCCCACTTTAGTGCATGAGAAGCGTTTCCAACGCATCCTCCTTTGAGGGATTTTTGCTGATATATCAGTTCCACCAACCCCTTTCATTACATCATCACCTGAGAGAAGAGGCCAGCACAGGAGCTGAGGCATTGTCTTGCATATTGGGCCTTAGTTACTGCAGCCTACATACATGGTTCAAGGGTCTATGGGGCCTTTTCCCGAGCCAGGTTTTCATCGCTTCTCGGTCGATTGTTTGAAATCGGTCTTTCCAGGAGAATAGGAGCGTCTGCGTGCGCACCACATACTAACATAGGACGGTTTCGCATCTGAATGCCTGAGAAATTTTCGATAGAAATCGAATGCGAGGTCCATTCAAGTCAGAGTCAATCAGATTGACCAATGCTGGGCCCCTTACCCCCCATAAGAGCTCGAGAGAGTAGCTCACTTACTTGTTCACTAGGATGATGTCAGGTTTCCATAGCCGTCGATATGGGATGTAAATCGTTTTGATGCCTCCCCACTCCGTGTAATTCCATACTAGGCGCTTGTCCATCCAATTGATATTCAGCCAACTTCTTGTCGTGAGCACTTGATTTCTCTCATCCTAAACGAACGCGGTCAAATCGTGTGCTATTTCATAGAATATACTCTAGGGATTACGCTCGAAGACATGTGTCAACAAAATCAAGCGCTCAATTCTTCAACGTTATGCTTATTCATTGGGTTTTTCGCCCTCAATGAAAATATTGGGCCAGCATATTAGCTCTTAATGAGCTTTCAGACATGGCAATTCCCCATTATTAGAATGCACCCTACTGTACACTCCAAGTTTTCTCGAAAAAAAACGCTTCTACTGAGAAATAATTGCGACTTAGATCCTCTCAAGAGCACCGCATTAGTAGCTGCACATAGAACAGCCCATCCCCTTCCCACCCCCAAAGTTCCTCGGGGAGGGCGCAGGCAAATATAGATTCGTCATATACATAAAAACAGCACCATCGCAGAGACAGGATTAATAGCACAATTGGAAGGGAGAAAAAAGCGAATGTCCTCCGACAAGTTCTCTTTTTGTACGTACTTCATCACCCAAAAATTAATGGGAGAGTGCTAAGACATGGACAAAATGCTTAACAGAGGCAAGGGACTGAAATCCGGACCTCACGAATACCCATATCAAACCATTACAACAACAGCAGGACCTCATTTAAGTGAAACGGTTCTGGACAGGGTACAACATCGTGACGTGTGAAATCGTGATGTCAGTCAGTACGTCCCCCCCTAACTCCTCGTTCCACTCGACTGGAAATTTTTTTTGGGTGAAAAAACTGGAAAATGCAGAGGATTGTTAGGTAAGTATATATGGCACACATGAAACAGGAAAAATCACGGAAAGTCCCCAATCGGGAAAAATTTTTCCTCAACGCCTCGAATTTCTCTCAAAGGCCACATACGACCCCTCCCCCAACAACGACCAAATACGACCCCCCTTCCCCAGCGACCAAGTACGACCCCCCACACATGTGTTTCACACAACGTTGTTGTACCCTGATTCTGGAGCACAGTTCTAGAGGAGGAACCGGAGCAGATCGGCTCGTGTGTCTAATAGAATTCAGCAAAACTACCTACCTTGCATAAACCTATAACTAGGAATTCTCGGAAGCAAAGTGGCTCTCTCGTGGTCTTCACGGCTTCACAAAATTTGACAGGTCTCAACGAAGTGAGACTTGTGAACTGACCTGTCAGTCAATTTTAATTAGCAAAAGGAATGGGTGAGAGAGCGAATGCCCCTCCAAGCCGACCAGCGCCACAAACCTACACTTTTTCAGTATTCGCGTGCCCTCAGTGCTTCCGAGGTGGAACGTTTCTTCAGCGGTCGAACATTTCGACAGACACTTTTCTTGTGATTTTTTTCAAGAAATTGTTTTTGAAACTTACCATTTCGACTATTTGATTGAGAAGGAAGCCAAATGTAACATTTGTAGGTTGTGTATGATGTGCAGTAGGTCGTACGTCCTTCTCGTATCGATCCTCTGACAACAATGTTCGATACAAGCGCTCTTCTGTGCCATCCGCAAAGGATTCTGAATGAATTCTGGATTGAAATGGCCTGAATTGAGAAACAAAGAAAGAGTGCGAGACTCACAAGCCTGTGTTAGTAACAACTATAACATAAAGCTAGATTTTTCTCTCCTATTTTCAATTGTTTACTGTTCATGTCACGAAAATGAGCAGGCGTGGTCGTGACGTATAGGGGGAGGGTAATTGCACTAGACAGTTTAGACAGCTGCAGGGTCACTCAGAGACGAAGCAGACGTACGCATAAGAGAGCACGGCGCGAGAAGGCCTCAGTGCTCTTCCTTTCACCCTCTGTCTGAACTAAAAAGTGCTCCCTGCCGCGCTCACAGCTGAGTATTGGACACGCCTCCTCATGTTCGGGATATGAAGTGCTTTATTGGTGGACAGCGCAACAATTTCATTGTTCCTGGTAGGTGATAGGTGAAAGGAAAGAGGTCTCCACCATTATAGTGGTAGAGGGACGTCGTATTGAAGAGAGTTCCCCTCCTCCCTCCCCCCTTCTTCCTCACATCTCTCCCTATAGTGCTGAGCTCAAGAACAGCTCGGACCAGAAACTAGCCAGAAAATCTGACACTATGAAGTCAGAAGGCTTCATGGCGCAGTTTGGTGGCGGGGTGGCATTATGCTTCCCATCGATGTGTCGACCCATCTAGATAGCCTTTTCTTGAGTTGACACGTTTTACCATGGTGGCTAGACGAGCTTGCTCCAGCTTCACAGTTCACAAGTTTCACCAGAGTGAGACTTGTAAACCGGAAGTAGTGAAGCAGTGAAAGTGCAAAATGCCCCCCCCTTCCGTCGCCGAACAGCGCCAGGCTTCATATATCATTTCTAGGACCTAGCTGTTGGTTCCCTACTAACCGCTTCTACGCTCCCCCAGGGTGATCACCCTTATTAAGGTATCCTGAATCTCGCAAACCTCAGCAAAAAGCGACGTTCATATTGATGTACCAACAAACCTGAGCGCAAAATAACTCTCATAGCAAGGAATCTCTCCCTTTATTCAACCCATTGGGGCGACATTTGAACATGAACTAACCCTTGTCTAACGCCGTTGGAGCGGTGGTCTACTTGGAATTAAAACAATTTATTAACATCTACCGAAGAAATACTTTGAAACATTCATGAAGAAAAGGCCAAATTTCATCTTAATCAATTCCCAAAAAGAACAAAATGCTGAAATATACTCTTAGAAAACCCACTTATTTGCAGAGCATGGTAGAGTCGGCGCTCGTTCAAGTGGACGTCCCGATAGACTTCGGGTGGATGTCCACCACTTGAATAATCGCCGTAGAACCTGTGAATATGCAAAGTAGCCTAATTTGGAAATTTTTGGAGGGAAGTTTACCTACCTGGATGTCCGAGTGTTTCGGGTTGTCAGAGAAGTAGGCGTGGATCGTTTCCGATCCTTTGGAGAAGAAGAATCATGTGGCTGATCAGACAAAAGGGAATAAATAAGCTTATCATCAGGAGTTGGCTCCGTGAGCTGGCCGGTTTCATTGGCCCTCGAACCCGTATGGCTATCATGGTCCGAAAGATATGATGATCGATTTTCTCTGGCACCATTTATTATAGACAACAGGTCAGTCGCCGTTACTGCTTTGTTAGTCGTAGGAGGAGAATTTCCTTGACTAAGATTACCAGATGAGGATTTCAGCAGCAGTAATGATACTGTAGTGGGCAGAAGGAGCAGAAGCATTGCCACTGAGTTGCTTTAACAATAGAGGGAGGGCGTCGGAGAATAGTGCTCGTTGAAGTAGGATGAACTTGTTAAACGAGGGCCGACGACGAAGGACTGCACATATCGAGCGCATGGATGGGCGTCATGGACGCGACCAACGGCTTCGCTTTTCGATTACTTGGCGCGCCAGCCATCCTCATCGTGCCTCTAAAAAACGGCTGATGTGGCTCCTCGTAGTAAATAGTTCATAACATCGTTCACAAATTCACCATCGATGACTTTCCCAGCCCGGATCAATTTATCATTCTATGGGTATGAGACCAAACCCTTCAACCCACCTAACATGAAGGCAATAAGATTCTACTCAAAGCCCTTTGGGGTTCTAAGTCCAGGAAAAAATTACGGAGCAAAACTGGTAGAAAAGAGTGATGGAAAGTACTCCGCTCTTGAGTTAGCTATGGCTAAAATAATCAGGTGAGGGGGGGGGGCAATCTGACCGGATTCAGCATCTCCGCATAATAGCAAAGGCCCCTTCAAAACCCCAATTGTGAGGAGAAATATATCGATCAACCTAAGTGTTTTGAATTTGTTCTACTGTGATAACTGCTGTAAAAGCCGCAGTTGGCGCTCCTGAATCCTACCACAGGGATGCCGTGGCCTAGGCAAAAGACTTGACCTTAGGCGTGACTCGAACCAGCGTCCTTCCAGGCATGTGAATATCCGGCTAACCGGCTTACCACATTAAATATGCGCGTGCTGCAAAGCCATGGCATAAAGCCATCAAGCTGAGAGGTGCAAATGCGGCTCGGAAGCTAGCGCACTCACAGATAGAGCGTCAATGCTGGTTCGAACCCCTCCTGAGGTGGGTAACAGATAATTCAGCATTCCTGTGATGAATAGTTTGGTCTCGAAAAGCCACTACTATGAAAGTACATATTGATAAGGACTGCATCTGCCACTGCATCTTCGTGAGTGTGCCCAAATGCAGGCCAAAGGCTGTTCAACTCTGCCGAGGATCGCGCCAGCAGTTTTGCTTTGCGGGAATCGTTGTTAGGGCATTTATTAGGTCATCCCATTCAAAAGTGCCGTGACATATAGAGGAATGGCAGAAAAGCAAAGGGGATAGGGAAGCGGGCTACTATACCATTTTCACAGATACACAGGTATAGTACCTTTACCTGTGTATCTGTGAAATTTGGCGAACCTACCCACAGAGGAAGTTCTC